ACACACACACACACACACACACACACATAAAAATAAAAATAGGGGCTGGTGAGATGGCTCAGTGGTCTAAAGCACCCACTTGGAACAAGCTTGGCAAAGCACAGGGACCACGGTTCAATCCCCCAGCACGACATGCCAGCCAGCCCCGCCCCCTGGTGGGCTGAGCTGGACACACACACGCACACACACACACACACACACACGCGCAATAAATCAATAAATAAATGTTTAAAAAATAAAGAAAAATACCACGCTGAAACTCAATATATATTTTTAAATTTATAGGTGTTCATAGGTGGGGCTTATTAGAGGTAGCTGGACCTAGGGTGTGTGATGCTGGGATCAAGGATGTGATACTGGGATAGACTCACGGTGTGATACCAGGATTAAAGCTGCCCAACCCCGGGTGTGAGTGCTACCTGCCCGAAGCATGGGTGTCCTGGATAGGATATAAGGGACAGAAGTGGGACGCTGGGGCTGGTGAGATGGCTCAGTGGTCTAAAGCACCTACTTAGAACAAGCTAAGCTATGCAAAGCACAGGGACCGCGGTTCAATCCCCCAGCACCACATGCCAGCCAGCCCCGCCCCCTGGTGGGCTGAGCTGGCCACACACACATACAAAATAAATAAATAAATAAATAAATAAATAAATGAAGTGGGACGCTGCCTATTGCTTGGTGCTTGCCGCTTTGCTTCTTTTTTTTTTTTCCGCTTTGCTTCTTCAGTATGTTGCTGTCTTCTGCCCCCCATGGACTGTGTCTCCTCTGAGATCTCCCCTGCCGTGCCACCCTGCATTGGAGCCAGCTGGCTATGGACTGAAACCTCCATGAACTGTAAGCCAAATAAACCTTTCCTCCTTTAACTTTGGGTGTCAGGTATTTTGTCTCCAGAAAGAGAAAAGTAACTAAGACAGTCAGAATCTGTCTCAAAATAAAAAATAAAGATAAGGGCTATGTGTGTAGCTCAGTTTGAACGTATGTAGCTCAATCCTTACACTGGGGGAAGGGCATAAAATAGCCATTTCAGGTAAACTTTAGCAGGATTTAAGTCACCAGGATATTGGGGCTTCTTTTGTTTTTGAGACAGGGCCTTGCTATGCAGTACAGACTGACCAGGACTCATGATAATCTTTGTGCCTCAGCCTCCCAAGTGCTGGGATTATAGGTGTGTATTACTACTTCCAGCCAAATCATTAGAATAGTTAAGTATCAAATTAGGAGTTTATAGGGGCCGGGGAGATAGCTTAGTAGAATAAGCGCTTGGCTGACAAGCACAAGGGCCTGAGTTCAATCCCCAGTTCCACAAAAAAAAAAAAATTAGGAGTTTATGCATATTACATGAATTTGTAGAAGGTAACTCTGGTTAAAAATTAAAAGTCTTAAGGGACGGGGAGATGGCTCAGTGGAATAAGCGCTTCTCTGGCAAGCACAAGGGCCTGAGTTCAATCCCCAGGTCCGCAAAAAGAAAAGAAAAAAGAAATGCATTAAAAATTAAAAGTCTTACAGCCAGCCAGATAGCACAGCAAACTAAAGCACCTGCTTAGGCAGGTGCAGGGACTGGGGTTTGATCCCAGGCATGCCAGAGTGTGTGCTGGTCCCGCCCCCGGAATGCATTGAGACAGTGAGTGACTGAGACTGGGAGTGGTGGTGTGCACCTGTAATCACAGCAGTTGTGAGGCTGAAAGCAGGAGGATCACTATGACTCTGATCTGCATAGTGAGACCCTGTAGACCCTGTACTAAGTTTATAAAAAAGATATTTTTAAGTAAAAAAAAAGGGCCAGGGAGATAGCTCAGTAGAATAAGTGCTTGCCTGGCAAGCACAAGGTCCTGAATTCAATCCCCAATACCGCAAAAAAAAAAAAAAAAAAAAGTTAAAGTCTTAAGACACTGTTTAGCTTTTTTTTTTTTTTTTGGCTGGCTCAGCCTGCCTTGAAGGTGAGGCTGGCACGGTATGTGGTGTCCTGCGCCTGCCTAAGTTTCACCTAAGCAGGTACTTAAGACCACTGAGCTATCTTGCCAGCCCTGTTTAACATTTTTTTGGGGGGTGTACAGGGTCTTGCTATGCAGCCTTATAGCAGGCCTGGGGTTCCAGGGCCAGCATAGCATGCAATACTAGGGATTGAACCTGGGTCCTTGCATTTGTCAGGCAGGCACTTAGATCACCGATAACTTCTCATATCACCATTTTAAATGTGATATTACTGTATCTATATTTTTTCCTATTTTCTTTCTTTCTTTTTTTTTTGTTTTTAAATCTTTTATTTATTTATGTGTGTGTGTGTGTGTGTGTGTGTGTGTGTGGCCAGCTCAGCCCACCAGGGGGCAGGGCTGGCTGGCATGTGGTGCTGGGGGATTGAACCGTGGTCCCTGTGCTTTGCTAAGCTTGTTCTGAGTTGGTGCTTTTGACCACTGAGCCATCTCACCAGCCCCTTCTTTCTTTCTTTTCTTTGTTTTTTTTTTTTTTTTTTTTTTTTTTTTTTTTTTCAGAACCAGGGATTGAACTCAGGCCCTTGCACTTGCCAGGGAAGCACTTCTTCCACTGAGCCATCTCCCTGGACCCTTTCCTATTTTATTGTAGTATTTATTTATTTACTTATTACTTATTTATGGTACCTGGAATCATGCCCCTATTCTTTTTCATTTATTTAAAAATTTAAGGAGCGGGGCTGCGGAGATGGCTCAGTGCAATAAGCGCTTCCCTGGCAAGCGCAAGGGCCTGAGTTCAATCCCCGGCTCCGAAAAAATAAAAAATAAAAAATAAAAAATTTAAGGAGCCAGGGACATAGCTCAGTAGAATAAGCACTTGCCTGGCAAGTGCAAGAGCATGAGTTTAATCCCAGGTTCCAATAAATAAATTAATTATTTTAATTTAATTTAAAAAATGAAAATTTGACAGGGGGCGGGGAGTTGGCTCAGTAGAATAAGCGTTTACCCGGCAAACGCAGGGACCTGAGTTCAATCCCCTGTTCTGCCAAAAAAAAAATAAATTAATAAATAAATAAATAAAAATAAAAAATGAAAATTTGAAAAAAAATTGAGAAATATATACATATTTTGTGTTTAAATTGTACATTCTCTGATATTTCAGCTGTAAGAAAAGGGATGGTCTTTATCTAAACTCAGAATTTTTTTTATTTTGTTTGTGTGTGTGTGTGTGTGTGTGTGTGTGTGTATCTCAGCCCACCAGGGGGCGGGCTGGCTGGCATGTGGTGCTGGGGGATTGAACCGTGGTCCCTGTGCTTTGCTAAGCTTGTTCTAAGTAGGTGCTTTAGACCACTGAGCCATCTCACCAGCCCCTTAGACATTTTTTTGAGGCAGTCATTACATATTCTCCAGACTGACGTTGTACTCATGATCCTCCTACCTCAGAGTCTGGAGTGCTAGGAATACAGGTGTATACCACTGTGACCAGCATATTTCTCTCTTTCTCTCTCTTTTTAAAATATATTTGGTACAGGGCCTACAGGGTCTCACTACGTAGACTGAACTCATAGTGATCCTCCTGTTTTCAGCCTCCCAATTGCTGGGATTACAGGTGTGTGCCACCATGCCCAGTCTCAGTCACTATTTCAGCATGTGGTGCGTGGGGGGGGGCAGCATGGCACACTGACATGCTGGGAATCAAACTTTGTTCCCTGTTCCCGCCTAAGCAGATGCTTTAGTCTGCTGAGCTATCTGGCTGGCCCTACTACTGTTTTGTTTTGAGACAGAGTCTCACTGGGTAGCCCAAGTTAGTCTTGAACTTGTAATTGTCTTACCTCAGGCTCCCAAACTCTGGGATAATAGGTGTTAGTCACAAGGCCCAGCTGGCATGATTTTTAAAAATTTTTTTGCAGTACTGGAGATTATACCCCAGACCTTTGCACT